TCACAGACACCTACTGTAGAAGAATCCAAGCCCACTGATATTTAAAACACTGACAAAGAAGGATGCAATATTTGAAATATTACAATTATAGAATATTTGCAGTAAGTAAGTTAAATAAATATCACTTTATTAGATAAGAACTATGAACTTTCCAGAGTTATCTAATGTAAAAGCAGATAATATTTTTCAAACGACTATAAATTTAAGAAACTGAATTACAGAAAAGAGAAATGTAGGTTTTTAAAGAATGAAGTTATATCAGAATTACATGTGAATATAAGGTTAAAGAACACTGGGATAAGTTAAAATAATTTAAAACGATGTAAGTTAAATTATAATAATGAACAAATTAATACAACATTTGAAAAGTTTAAAGAAAATATTATAAAGAAAGAAATTTCTAAAATGGGATGGTATGAATTGTCTCGTGATATTAGTGGCTCTCAATCATTATATGATATAATATTTATAACATTTCACTCAGGTTATAACAAAGCTGAAAACCATAAAAATTAAAAGAGTAGATATAGAACGGATTATTGATGAAATAAAACTGCGTATTAAAGAGTGATAGATTGTGGATAATTTACAAAAATAATCAAACAAATGTAAATTATATGTGTAATTATATGTGAAAAGTAAAATAAAAAGAAACATATAATATAAGATTACAACAACAAATACTATCTCACAAACTTTTTATAATAAAATAATATGAAAAAAACATGGGAGATTGTTCATGAATTGTTAGAAAATAAATCAAGTGACGGTGTTATTATTAGAAATATGTCACATATGGTTACTACTGAAGTTATAGCAGAGAAATGTAATGATTAGAATGCAGATTTAATATATACATTAAATAACATAAATATGTTTTAGACAATCTATATATTGATAGTGGTAATTATTTTCAAGAAATTGTTTCTAATTCTTTTTATTTTCCAAATATAAGTCATGATGAAATAATAAAAATTGTTAATAAGATAGATATTAACACGACTCGTTTTGTAGATAAAATATCATTAAGACATAAAATATTGCAATAATTCTTTCTTTCATACACTGTTTAAAATGTTAAATATAATGTATGAATCATCAATTATATTATTTAATGTAAACAATATATCGCTCCTTATCTTGTTTATTGTGTTGACTGTTTATTTGTTCTTGCGTTCCTAGTTGTATATTATAATGCACCACAGACATAATTATTTTATTCTTGTTTGCTTGCCCCCCAGTGTCACAGCGGTATGTCTGCGGACTTACAACGCTAGAAACCGGGTTTCGATACCCGTGGTGGACAGAGCACAGATAGCTCATTGTGTAGCTTTGTGCTTAATTACAAACTTGTTTGCTTTATACATTTTCTTGTCTACTTTACTTTGGCATTCATTTGCATGTTCTAGTATAATTTAACTGTTATTATTTATTAGCCTAAAGCCACACAATGGGCTATATGCGCACTATTCCCTGAGAGGATTCGAACTCCAGATTTTAGCGTTGCAAGTTTGTAAATTACAACAGTAAATTACACTCCGGGGCACATATGTAGTTTTTCGTATGTACTCTTGAATAACGTTTACGTTTTCTATTACTGATCTGCTACAAAGTAAATATATGTTTGTTGTAAATGCATTAAAAGGTATTTCCTGGGAGCATGTTCTTAGTTGCTTGGCTCTTGAACATAAGTGAATCTAAACTGAAATCGCTTTAACTTTGTGTTTGTTACAATTGTTTATCGAATTTAACCACTCTACCTGTTGTGTATCTCTAATAAAGGTTTTTTGTGCGATAAGTTGAATGAAACAATGTTTTTATCATATGCTGCTTGTTTGAAAATGCTGAGCTTGTAGTTACTCTGCTGGATTTTTCTGTTTGTTTCTACCGTATTTCTCGGCTTTTCCTGGAGAATAGTGAGTCTTTGAGTCATTTCTTTATTTGGTTTAATAATGAATATCTCCTGTTTTTGAATAAGCGTTTTATATTATTTTTACTAGTACCTTTGGTCGCTTATATCAATATATGTGTTCGACTTTTCTTGACCAATGGTTTTGTTTAACTTCAAAGTGAAAATAGAACGAGATCACAGTTTAGTGAAAAAAAAGACAATAAGCCTAGTTTTTTTCTAGTTGAGGGCTGGCATCAGACTGAAAGTTATAAAACTTTTTTAATTCTTTAATTTAATTTTCACTTTGATTTCAATATAGCTAGATGGCCAGTTTCAAGTGCAACATTACAATCATTCGATACATGGTGAACTATACTTGATGGAATTCCCGATCTTGTTAGAGTGCGTTCATTTGTTTTGTTCTATATTGGTCGGTCTACATATTTCGCGCAAGCCGGTATTTAGAACCAATAAAGATACCTTTACTTTTGGAAACTATATTTTTAACTTAAAATTAATCCTTTATTACACAATTTTATTATATGTCTATTATAAATTCATGAGTTTGTTCTCCTCACTGACGTAGTTAATTTTTTATTTACTTCCAAAGAATGAGTATCTTGTATAAGGTAAAAGAACGATTAGTACCTTATTTGGGACCATTAACTGTAAAATATGCGAAGTAATAACTTTGTTTAGATGCTGTGCAATCCAAGTTTATTTTCATCTTATTTGATTGTGTCAAACAGAATCGATTAATTCAAAGGTTTGGCAAGTGGACTGTAAAGGCTATAAGAACAAAAACCACAATGCAGCAAATGTTAGTTATTGAGAAATAGTTATTTCAAATTATATTGTTATTTTTGTACTAAAGTATGTAGAAATACCAGCTTGATTCTTGTTCTTTTTGAACAGTAAATTTAAGATTTCGATATTTGCTTTTCAATTAGTATAACTCATTCGCATACTCTTATAACTGATAAGAACCAAAGATATAGTCAAATATTTTCGATATGTAGTCGAGTAATTTAAAGATAACTAACCAATAATTGAGTCACTACTCTTTACGATGACTTAAGAGATAAAAGACAACTTAGTTATAGCATTTATCAAGTTTAGATCCCCTATTGTCCCTATTAACCATGTCGAAGATATTTCTTTTAAATATTATGTGGTTTCTATTACCAAACACTATTAATTTAGAAAACACGTGTATTTTAATAAATTATTTGCAACACCTGAGTTTGTTCATATACTGATACTTTTATAACCATTATTACATTATCTTACATTTTATACTGAATGGAAACACTCAAAATCGTCTTATACTATCAACACATAATTAGTATGTTATTGAAAAAATAGCAGTGAAATATCTGATAAACCATGACCAATATTTGATGCCTTTTGTTTTATAGAACGGTTTTACGATGACCATTAGGTGAATCCCTACATGGCTTTCTTTAAGACGTATTATTATTATTCAACTATTCAATATTATTTTAATAAAGTTTTTATTGTAAGAATTAGTTAGGTATATATCTAATTCAACTAATTAGCTTCTTAACCAACATATATGAAAATAATAGGTTTAGTATTATATTTTTTGTCTATTTTCGTGGAGTTGTATAATTACTTTTACAGATCTATATGCTTGTTTTGGTAATGTTCTGTCTGTTATGTGGCTGATTTGGTGGCGTTCTTTGCCAACTGTGATAGTGCTCTCTGCCAACTGTGATAGTGCTCTCTGCCTACTGTGATAGTTCTCTCTGCCTACTGTGATAGTGCTCTCTGTCTTCTTAGGTGGCTTTCTTTCTGTTTTGTGTCAGTTTTGGTAATGTTCTGTCTGTTATGTGGCTGATTTGGTGGCGTTCTTTGCCAACTGTGATAGTGTTCTTTGCCAACTGTGATAGTGCTCTCTGTCTTCTTAGGTGGCTTTCTTTCTGCTTTGTGTCAGTTTTGGTAATGTTCTATCTCCTTTGGCCGTGTTCTCTGCATATTTTAATTGGTATACATGATTAGTTTCTAGAAATATATATAAATTTTGGTAGTTTTCTTTTTCTGCTTTACTAGTTATATGATTATTTCATAGAGCTTGTGTTTGCTTTGTCTTATCTGTTTTGGAGGAGTTATGCATTTTATTTGATAGCGTTCTGTGCCTCTTTTGTCATAGCGAGTTTACTAGTGAAAATATACGTCTTCCGCTTTTCCACGATATCCTAATTAAAATAATTCAGCACTGCATCATAACCTTGCGTTAATGGCTTCTAGTCTAGCAAGTGACATCATGCACAAGTGTATATTTGACGTCTCATCTCCCATCACTGCATTTAGAAGAAGAAAAGGCTCAACAGGAAGTAACATCAGATAACCAGTATTAATTTTCAAAGTTTGTTCATTTATCATTTGGTGCCTTGCATGTCGTTGAGCTTTTGGAATCTACCCATGTTTAAAGTTTCTAGAGGAATTAGCAGAAGTCTAGAAATCATTGAGTCTTTGTTAATGTACTGCCGTTTCTTTAATAGACGTCTTGTTAACCTTATTGATATACTACATTGATGCACAAACACTGACACAAATGCTTGTGTGCCCAGTAAATAAAAGAATATACAACAGATAGAAGGTAGAAGCAGATCGTTTGTCTTATTTGTGGAATCTCTTTTGATTACTAAACAGTGTAAATACATGTTACTCTATGGATAACTTAAATTGCATGTACTGTGAGTATTTTGTTACAGGGTTTCAAATATTAATATCTTTTTAGCATTGTAATGTTATCTTAGACTTAAATGCTATCAAACTGAAAAAATTGTTCAATCTAAAATCAACGTTAGAGTAACATTTTCTATTAATTTTATCAAATTATTTTTAGGATCGTTAATTTCATGGGAGATAGAAATGGTATCACCCACGCGTGCGTAGATAAAGATGCTTTACTGTATTTAACAAATGTTTTATAATACGTTCGCATGAACCAAGAACATCCAAGCATGCAAAAGCTCGAAGAAACCACCTTTTGCATGACAGACTTCTTTATTTTTATATAAAATTACAGAGAAAGAACTTTCAGTTACTCGGAAGCCAAAGTCATGTTTAATCTGATACTTACCACTTCTACGAGAGTGCCATATCCTTGATAGCGTCCACTGACCACCAACTTCTTGATAAAAGGCCCTAAAGGGAAATTACAAACGTATGAAATATTTACAACTAGTGCACTAAAGAACAATCGAAGAAGATGAGCAAATCAGCAGACTCGAGAGTCTCCAGCGTTTAGTCGTTTCCAAGGTACCCTTCAGAAAATAGATGGAGTAATATATCTGTGAATAGGTTGATTACAACACTGTTCTATTCAAGTCAGAAGGGAGTTAAAGCTTGGTATGAAACTGATATAAAATGGTTATGTTGTCTTTTAAACAATACTGCATCAAATATCCTACATCACAAACATAATATTTAAACATTCTGATTTTTAATAGGGTTACACACAAATACATAGAACAAGTTTGAGGAAATAGGATTACACAAATATTTTAAAACCGCAGTTATTTCACCCTTTGACTTTTAGGAACTAACTTTTCTATGCCCGATGTTATCAGTGAAAAAACAAACACGACGATAGCTGAATTTTGGTTTAGAATTTTTTAATTTAAAAGAACAGCCATCATTATCATACTTCGCATTAGATGGCAAAGTATTACAGGTGTTCTATTAATAATGTTACGTACGCAGCCACAAAATATTTCACTGCACAATTCTCCAACATTTATTCTACAATTACTTTCAGAATCTACTACATTTATCTTCTAACGTATAATCCATTCTGAAAAATAATCATTTTTATTATCTAGCATATTACCAACCCAAGAATTTACTACATTTATCTTCTAACGTATAATCCATTCTGAAAAATAATCATTTTTATTATCTAGCATATTACCAACCCAAGAATCTACTACATTTATCTTCTAACGTATAATCCATTCTGAAAAATAATCATATTTATTATCTAGCATATTACCAACCCAAGAATCTACTTATCCGTACTATGTATGCAATATCCACTTGGGAATCTACTCATATGTATCATCTCATACAATATAAATGTAAGAATCTACTGATTTGTATCATTTGGTATATTATCTACTTTAGAAAATACTAATATATAGTATCTGATTCAATATCCACTTATAAATCTACTAATCACTATTATCTGATGCAATATCCACTCTAGAATATATTAATTTGTAATACCTGATGCAATATGCACTTTAGAAAATAATTTTTATATCTGATGTAATGTCCGTTTTTAGAATCTACTATTTGGTGATAAGTTACAGTGAGCATAGAAATGCGACTGTATTTGTATTTATGACAAAGCTCCAAAAGATATTTGCCGCCGTTCCTAATTCTGAGTTACTGACCAGAGGGAAGGCAGCTTACTCAACAGTACTTTACCATTCACACTAAGGGATAGACTGTACTGTTATAATGCACTTGACTGTCACTTCTATAATGCATTCACAGTTTAAACTGCAGGGAGTATTTTGTGTATCACAAGTATTCGAACCCGCTTGGAAGCTCTAAAATGTCCAGCTTTACCTCAGAGCCTTGTTCGCTTGTTTATTTTAGAGCAAAGTCACGTTGGGCTATTTGTTGTGTCCACCGCGGGGAATCGAACCCCGGTTTTTATCGTTGTAATTCTGGAAACTTACCGCTAACCCACCGGGGAACACCCGAGAGCCAACCCGCGCCCTGGAAAACAAGGTATGACTAGAACTTGGTATGTCGTATCAAAATAACCAGTAGTGTGTCGTGCGGCCAAAACAACCTGCACACACACTGTGTGTTATTAACAGGAGTGATAGTTTAGCAATATTTCACTTTCTGCAGCTCGAACTGTTGTAATCCAAGCTTTTCTTGGGGCATTACGAATTTATTTAGGCGGAGACGGTATTAATAATATCAACCCTCACCGTTCTTCTGTCTCCTCCGCCTGCCATTTCTCTCTCTATCTCTCTTTTATCGGGTTATTATTCTAGCTTTTGGAAGACTGGCATGTAAATATTAATTAAAAACAGAAAACGCAACAGCTTATAATTCTGCTAATTGGCCATTTTATATCTATAATTGTATGATCACCATCTCAATAACTAGAGTACTTTTAGTAATTTTATAATGTGAAAAAAGACAAACTGAAGGTCACCTGCTGTGTCGTGAAAAAACTGAATTTATCTAACCTTTATACGTTTGTTTGTCTGCCCGGTTGGACAAAAGAGTCAGATCAGAGAATAGCTGTCCGTAATTTTGAACTATGATCAGAAGTAAGTAGGATCAGTTAGTAGTGCCCGCCGCTTGATGTGGCTACTCATAACGTAATAGTGGGATTGACTGTCAAATGTATAATGCGCTTACAGCACGCTCATCATCATATTGAGGGCTCTTACCTTGGATCTTCTGATCCAAAGCCTGGTAGACTAACCATTAGGCTATTCTCGGGCGTAGTTTTAACATACAATTCGTTTTTAAATTCATATGACTCGATGGTCTCTATTATTTTGATTTCTTATTGACTTCTTATACAACAAATCTATTAACATAAAATAATTCCTTAGTCGCGCCTTTAACATAGTGACTTTATTAACTGAGAATGCTACTAGCAAAATTGCTTGAAAAACCAGTGCTTAATTTTTTCCAAGTCTCTACGGATCCGAAAACTATTTTAGACATTCCTTAAACCTAAACACTAATTAAATTTGCCTCAATTGCGCTATTGATGGATATTTGACTGACATTGTCAAATACATTACTTCCTTCCAGCCCCATCCCAAATAATAGTCTTAATAGATGCTATATATCAAAACTCAAAGCTCTCTTTTCCCAACCTATCGGTTTTGTTTGTTTGTCTTGTTTGTTTCTTGTAGTTATGCACAAAGCTACACAATGGGTTATTTATGCTCTGCCCACCACGGGTATCGAAACCCAGTTTCTAGCATTGTAAGTCCGCCGACATACCGCTGTGCCATTGGGGGGTCCAACCCATCGGCAGAGATCAGATATCTTTTGTTCTAGAAATTAAGCACTTTTGAAATTGTCCCTAAATATATTTGTTCGACCTCCCTCCGTTCCCAGTAAAGGCAGTGACGAGTCACACTAAAGTATTTTTAATAATTATTTTATCTTATTTTAATTTAATCCTATATTTCGTTTACTGTCCTAAACAGACAAATTATTAACTCTCTCGTAGCGGACAAATAGTAATTTAGTTCTCACAATCCGGTTCTGTTACTCTTACTATTTTAATTTCTCCTCAGTATACTTGTATATTACTACCAGTTTTTTACAACATCTGTTTCTTCATATCTTTTATCGTATCTCAAAATAAATGTGAAAAAAGAGTCCTATAATCGTCCAATGAATCAAATGTTTTTTGCTCATATTTCGGAATCCAATGAAAATAAATTATTTCTCCCCATCGATCTAGCTAGGCTAACGAGAGATGAAAAAACTCGAAACAGCATTATTCACCTGATCATGACATCATGTTTTGAATCCATTGTGATTAAAGGTACTTCATGTTATTAAAGTTGACACTTTAATTAAAAGTTGATATTAAAAAAAACATTTGATTTATATTATGATAGTATTACTGCAGTACACGCTTTAACAAGTCCTTATAACGTCGTGTACGCCATGTCACCTTTACTGGGATGTTAAACTTGCACATTAAGCTATTAATAATTGATATTGAATCATTAAGCTAAATTGTGTTCTCATAAACTATGCATAACTAAAATTTGAATAATTTAATCGGGGTTTCTTCTTTACAGAAGAGGATTGAGTTCCTTTGAATGGCGTAAACCCATTCTCTGTTCTATTTGTTGACAAAACTATCAGTGTCAAAATCGAAATATCTATACACGTTCCAATCGAAAATAACTCGAAAAGAAATATATATGTATAGCGGAGACTACGTTGAATGACCGAGATGTTTCCTACAGTGTGATAAGCTCAGCGATGTTGCTCACAAATTGTTCTTTAAACATATGAGTATTCGATATTACGCTATACCAAAGAAATGTCAAAGTAAAATAAAAAAAACGTTAATTTGTTAATTATTTTTAAATTGAATGAGTATTACTTTTTCCTTGAAATGTTTCAACAAAGTTTGTTAAATACTTTTCTTTCTTGTGGTAGACCGCGTTGAATTTATTTTTGCTTTTGTCTTGTTGGTATTTCCAGTTTCCTCCACAGTACACATAACACATTAAAATTCATAAGAGTGTTTGTCTCGCTCCATGTATGCGTTCCATCCCTATCTACCAGCATAACATTTGAGTCCGTTGATTTGTCTTAACGATATAAAACTTTTATTACTGTTTATCTACCATTCTCCTTACTGTCACAGACTCTCAGGAGCCAAGATACTAAACATTCTCTGTGTGTAGTGTGTACTCTGCGGTGCTTGTGGCCATTAAAGTTGACAAGTTAAATAAGCATTAGGAAATTAGGAAACAGACGTGTGTTCAACTTTTTATGTATTTTGTTTTTACTACACCTTGTTATAAGACCATGTTCCTGCAGTTTCCACACTTCCAGCTGTATTAATTCACATAGGATTCTTCCATTGTAAGCGCAATAAGTTCGATTTATACATATCATCTATATTCACCCAACTCTATGACTTTAAGGTGACCACTGGGTTTAACAATGGACTTTATCCGTATTTTATATGGTTCTGAAAGAAAAAATCCAAATGAAGCATGATTGTTTTTCTTTAACAGAAAAGGAGTAAGTGTTTTTCAAATACTATGGTAATATTCCAGAATGAAAATTCATTGCATAACTTGAGCACTTGAGAGAAATTATTTACAATTAAATTATCCTACACATATAGTTACAGTAGAACGACAACTAGATAATGTCATGCTTCTAGACTCCACACGTACTAAATCACACAATGACTTAATCTGCAAGATATATTACCTGTGGTAAAACCATTTAAATCACACTATGACTTAATATTCAAGATATATTACCTGTGGTAAAACCAGCTAAATCACACTATGACTTAATCTGCAAGATATATTACCTGTGGTAAAAACCATCTAAATCACACTATGACTTAATCTTCAAGA